TTAACAGTCTCATGCTCTGAGCTATCCCAGGTCTTCTGGGATCTTCAAATACCTCAAGGGCTGCCACATGAAAGATGGAGCACACTTGTTTTCTGCTGCTCTGGAGGGCAGAACTTGAACCAATGGCTTCAAGTTACAAGAAAGGAGATTCCTACTAACCAGGAAAAGCTTTCTGGCAGTAAGAGCTGTTTGACAGTGGAATGGACTCCCTCCGGAGGCTGTGGCAAACTCGGCCCTCCAGATGTTTTGGTACTACAACTCCCACCATCCCTAGCTAACAGGAGCAGTGGTCAGGGATGATGGGAATTGTAGTCTCAGAACATCTGGAGGGCCGAGTTTGCCTATGCCTGCTATGGACTCTCCTCCCTTGGATGTTTCTAAGCAGAGGTCGGGTGGCCATCTGTCATGGATGCTTTAGCTGAGATTCCTGCATTTCTTGGGGTCCTGACTCTTGGGGTCCCTTCCAACTCTACAATTCTATGCTTCTGGAGAAAGAGCGCGAACTACCTCGGGCCAGCGCCGTCCACCTGGCAGGGAACCTTGGGAGCGAGCCCAACTGAGGTCAGAGAGACTTCCTTTGGAACAAACCAGAGGTCAGCTCGGGATGCGAATCAATGCAACCGGATCAGCCTGTTCAGGGCAGCTGCTCCAAAGAAGCCATCCTGCCAGCGAGCTCTGTTGGGCGACCGGCCGGCCGGCAGAGGGCGCTGCCGGACAAGGTCCAGGCGCGGCGGCTGGGAGGCGGCGGCGAGCGGGGATGCAGCGAGCGAGCGAGCGAGCAAGCGGGCGCGGGAGGAGGGAGCCTGAGTGGCTGGGCGCGAGAGAGGAGCTGATGCTGCAAAGCCGCCCGGAGGGGACCATGAGGAGCTCAGAGCGGGAAGAAGAAGACGAAGACGAGCGCGCAGAGGCAAGCGCCTAGCGTCGCCCGGCCGCGGAGCCCGAGCCAGCGCGCCCGACTATGGCTGGGGGAAGGCGAGGGCTGGTGGCTCCCCAGAATACCTTCCTGGAGAACATCGTCAGGAGATCCAACGGTGAGCAGAGAAGGAGATCCCGGCGGCGGTGGGACGGGGAGGGATGCACGGAGCGCTGCTGGCGGTGTTCGCGTGCACGTGTGAATGCGTCCCCGGGGCTGCTCGGTCGGCCCCAATGCGGGACTCGGCGAATCCGGGCTCGATCCGGAGCTCCTCCTGGCTCAGGTGGGGATGCCTTTAGGTGGGAGCCCGGAGAAGTCTGACAGAAGAAAAAGTGGTCCAGATTCCTCCGTGAGGAGGCAGGTTCAGGTGGGGTGAGAGAGGAAACCCCGCAAGGCTCCTTGGCCCCATGAAATGCCACTATTTTGGGGGGTTGGGGGAGGTGTTGTTGCAGGGCCGGTTTAGGGGAATGCTGCTGCTGTTCAGGGCGCGATTGGTGGTGGGAAAAGATCAGCAATAATCCCTCCTGCTCCCGAGCTCTTGGGATGATGTCCTAATGTAGACTCCTTGCAGTGTGTGTTTGTGTGTGTTTGCAGGGTGTGTGTGTGTTGGGGAGAGAATGCTCCTCCGTTCCTTTTCCTGGGGGAGTCCTTTCCCTTTCTCTCGCCTCTCCACTCCCCCGCCTCGCTTGCTCAGGGGCTGTCCCCTCCCTTGTTACTGAGGTTTTTGGTGCTATGCAGACCTGGGAGTCTCTCTTTGCGGAGGCTGTAGCGAGATCCTCAGCTAGAGCGAGCGAGCGAGAGGCACTTGGATCTAAATGGGCTTCCTTCCAGACTTCACCTCCCTGCAGGTGGAAGCCGACAGGGAGAACCTGTCTAAAATAACAGCCACACACTTTAAAAGTGCAGCAGGAATGGGGGGGGGGGGGACGGGGACGACCCCTGATGCATATCTCTATGTAGTTGTCGAACGGGTGTGATTTCTACATTTGTTTTGTTTCTTTTTAAAATAGGCTGATACTTCCATAGGGTGGGGTGGGGGGGTAAAGAGAGAGGTTTTTAGGCTAGAATGCTCTTGAAGGTGAATTCTGACAGTTTAGGCTAAGGACTGACTAATATCAATCTCTGGCTGGCTCCAATCCCCCTCCTATCATTCAAATAAGCCACTGTTATACAAGAAGAACCTTGCAGGTCATTATAATCCGGATTGCTGAATCTGGTGCACAGTGAGAAGTCACATTTGTTTGTTCAGGAGAAGGTACTGTTTGGGGGAAGTTGTTGAAATGCTTAAATATGGCTAAAGGGAATTTTGAGATAGTTCTGGTTAAAAGACCAGCAGCATGGGCTTGAGGTCATTTATTGTTATTATTGTATTTCGTTATTTATTTTATTTATTTTTAATTAAAACCCCAATTGCATGTTTGCACTCCCTAACGAACAGCCTCCACTTGGTAAACAGAGCAGGAAAATTGAGGTGGGAAGGACCTTAGTCTCTGATTTGTGTGTGTGTTGCTTGTCCCTGCCTTACAATTCTCAGGCTAGCAGGATGACCCACGAATTTTAAAGCCACATTAGCATTAGTTCCATCGCACTGAGCCAATCGAAACAAACATGGTACCAGCTCGAACCCATATAGGGTTAGACGTGCCTGTCTCTGTATAGGTCTGGATTTATTTCTTTTATGAAGTGGATTTCTCTTCCACCTTTCTGTTGGCACGAGAGTTCTGGAGGGTTGCTGATTGCAAGTCTGCTGCCTCGCCAGGTTTGTGGTGTGTGAGTGCAAAGGAGGGCAGGGATCCTCTCCTTTGAACAGTTACACAGAAGAGAAAATTGCAGCAGATTCAGCTGCTACCACCCCTACATGACAAGCTGTCCAAATTCCCCTCTTCCGTTGAAAGGCAAATTGCTGGGAATGGGATTGAAAACAATGCTGTCAATATCACAACACCGTTATCCAAATCTATGGTGCAACCCCACTTGGAATACTATGTGCGTTCTGGGCACCGCACCTTAGAAAGGATGTCATTGAGCAGGAAAAGGTTCAGAAAACCAAAATGATCAAGGACCTGGTAAACTCCCCTGTGGAAAAAGGTTACAACATTTGAGTCTTTTCCATTTACAAAGAGAGAGAGAGAGATTGGTGATGGGGATATGAGAGCAGTGTATACAATTATGCATAGTGTGTGGAAAGTGAATAGAGGTAAGTTTCTCTCTCTCCCCCCCCCCCCAAGCTCATATTTCCAGAACTGAGGGATGTGCTAAATGGTGAGAGATGCAGGGCAAGCAAAATGAAGTTCTTAGTCTATGGGAATCACTTCCACAAGATGCAGATGACTTTAAAAGAGGATTAGAAAATTCATGGGAGATGAAGCTATCCATGGCTATATGATACCTCCAGGATCAGCTACACCATGCCTCTGAATACTGAAGAGGCCAGAATATCAGCTAGACAGGGCTCTCGCATGTTGTGATTCTGGGCTTCCCAGAGACACTTGGTTGGCTGCTGTAGGAAGGCGTATTCTGCACCAGGTAGGCCTTTGCTCTGATCCAGCAATGTGCTTCTTGTGCCCTTAGGTTCAGGCACCTTTTCCTCCTCTCCCAAAGGCTCGTTCCAGTGTTATGTGTTTGCAAAATTATGACCCAGTTCCTTCCTTTCAGTTTGATTAATTGCAGCTACTTGAACGAATAAGAGCTATTGGCACAAGTATTGATGAGCGAGACGCAGGGCTGGAATCCAAATGGGGAAGGCACACTGCCTCTAAAGATGCTGGGGGCAGGGGATTCAGCTACACAATGATAAGGCAGATATACAACTTTAATAACTTCCGGAAACACTTTGCTGTTTTAAAAGGGTTACACTGTAGAGGAAATCACCTTTTGATTGTTCTCCATGTAAACCACGATCACATTAATGTATACTGATGCGTCACTTCAAAATGTAAATTAGACCCCTCCAGCCCCAATCCATCATTAAAAGTGAAAGGTTTTACTTGGGAGGAAAGAAGAAATATCACTTGTCATTAACTCAGTAATAGCCAGTGGTTTCTTCTCCTCAAATTATTTCACTGTTTTCAGATGAATACGCCATTCAATCAGCACCAACTTAAAAAAAAACCCCTCCAACTTCCTAGCGCCAGCCTTCATGTTTGAATAATATTATCATTAAAATGTCATTTTGAAGAACGCACTGTGTAGAAATTGACATGTCCTTGACTTTCCTTTTCCTTCCCCCAATAAGAGGCCTGATGCAAAACCCATTGCCTTTAATCGAAGTTCATCAATGGCTGCCAAAAAAGGTTCCTAAAACAGACTCTCATGGTGGGCAGACTTCTGGCTTTCAACGCTTATTTGCTAGAAGTCCCAAGATCCACCAACCAGGGGGTTGCAAAAGGACATGCATCTACCTGTAGAAGGGTGCAAGGGACATGCATCTATAATTACAGAATTCTGCATCCAGGAATTCAAGAATTCAGAGACCTGAATGGAGCCTTCCACACAAAAATCTGCCCCAACTCATATTGGTAATATAGTTTGGAGCTGTGTGTGGGCAGGGGGTCATTTTGTTGCCACAATTGTTCAAGAGCTGGGAGTCAGAAATCCTCCCCAATCTACTGCAAATTATCCAGAGAATGGCCAGTAGGTCAAGATCTGATCTCACCTTCTGCCCACCCCTGCTTTCCAGGACAGCCACACACATTGTGTGTGTGTGTGTGTATATATAGCCATAGATTCAAGAGCAGTCCAGAAGGTTAGAATGCTTGTTTTCCAGCATTTTGCTGTTGCACTAGGGGTAGTTTCTATCTTTATCCAGTTTTACTGAGCTAGGGTGGAATGTACTAACTCTAGTATTGGAGATGGCACGCCTCTGAATGCCAGTTGCTGGGGAGCACAAACTGGGAGAGACAAATATTGCGTTCATGTCTTGTTTGTGGTCTTCTGGTTGGTACTGTGAGAACAGGATGCTGGACCAGATGGGGCTTTGTTTTGATTTAGCAGGGAACTTTTAAAGTTCTTACTAGAAGCAGGGCACACTTATTTCTTGGCGGCCTTTCCCCTCTAGCGGATTCTTTCTAGCTTGCAACTTACTTGAGCCTGGATAGCTCAGTTGCTGAGAGTATGGTGCTGATAAGGCCAAGGTTGCAGGTTCGATTCCTGTATGGGGCAGGTGCACATTTCTGCATTGCAGGGGGTTGGACTAGATGATCCTCGGGTTCCCTTCCAGTTCTATGATTCTACTCGCAGCAGGTTAATGTGGTAGCCACGTCTCGGCATATCAAGCACAGCCTTTCCAGGTCTTCATTCATGTAGAATAAATGCATCTGTAAATAGTGGTTCTTTCCTCCAACCTACATGTGTGGGGTCCTTGGTTGCATGCATATAGTATACATCCATGGTTGAGCAATTGCCTTGCATGCAGAAAGTTCTTAGTACAAACCCCAGTGTCTCCAGGTTGGGCTGGGTAAAGCTTCTGCCAGAATATCCTGCAGAGCGGCTAGACATTGGGCTAGACGGTATACTCAGTGAAAGACAGCTTCCTATGTTTCTAGCTTTACATGAGAGGACTTCCTAAAGATGCCCATAGATGGAGGGTGGAAAAGAGACAGGGTGCTTTCAGAATAATGGGATTCAATCACATACCAGCAATTCAGGCTGCACAATTACAGTTGATTTGGGAGGTCTTGCACACAGCAGACTCACTTCCCCCAAAGAGAGGACTTTTTGCAAGAAGGAAAGTGAGAGAGAAATGAAGGGATGTGTGTGGGTCACTAGTGAAAGTGCCATGAGGCTATTGCTTCAGTTCTGCCCTCCTGGGACAGCCACTCCTGCTGATCAATATTGTGATTAAATAGATCATAACATAAATGACTGCCTTATGCAACACAATAAATATTAATATCAATAACACTTGACAGTGACCACCCCCTGGGAAATGGCTTTGAATGGCTGGCTAAATCAGGTGAAGTTGAGTTAGGGACTTCCCCTGCATCAAAAGACAGGCTCCAGTGGATTGAGCAGATGAGACCAACAGTGGGTTCAGCAGTCAAGAAGGTGGTTTCTGCAGGTGCTATAGAGGGAAGTGAGGGGCAGATGGGGTTCATCAATCTGGGAAGGGAGCCCATCTAGGAAAAGGAAAACTCTGTTCCTAAACCTTTGCTGCCTTGTGTGATATCTTTGGGAGAAGAAAAGGCTAAGTACTAAAACCCTACTGAAATCTGGAGTGGAGTCCCTAAGGCAGTTGGATGGCATCTTGTATACCTCCTTCCAGCAACTCCTGCAGCCAAGCTGGTGCCAAACGTATTGCTTTCCTTTCCTTTGGGCCACATCAGTGAAGACAAGAAGGGGGTCTTGTCGTCTGGGCAGCCCAGGACCACCAAACACCCTGCCCAAGTTTTCGCCCCAAGGAGGTCACTTTGGTGCTGCTAACTCAGTGGTTTGACTTCACCCCCGGAGGCACACTCCAATGTCTCTTGAGACAGAAGGATGCCAGCAACAACAAATACAAGCTTCCAACAACTGAATATTGATCTTAATAGTACTATATAATAAATCACATTACAGGCTTCCTTTATATGCACCAGTTTCTTGTTAAATCCCATTCGGTGCTGAAGTGCCAAGCACAGACCAAAAACCTATTAATTTCAATAGAACTAGGAGGAACACTTACATATATAAACTTCCTGTACTATAAAATATTTTTTCTTAAAATACATTAAATATTAATTTCGGAACTGCTTGCAACTTTTCATGCGATTGTTTTTTGTAAACAAAATCCCATCCCAACAGAATATATAAATAGAATCAACATTAACAAGGAACCAAAACAAATACCTGATTAAACATTCACAGTCTTTGCTCGTGTAGTGGGGACGAGATGCAGCGGCAATATTTATTCATTTGTCACATTTATAACCCACCCCTTTCCTCCAAGGAGCTCAAGGGGACGAACATAGTTTCCCCTCCCTCCCAGTTATCCCGGGGATTGGAACTCTGGTCTCCCAGATCCTAGTCCAGCACTCTAACCACTACACCACAGTGGCTCTCAAGAGCCTTGCAGTAGCAGTCTTGCTGCCACTTACTAGGATGGGTGAGGTGGCAGCAAGGTCAGGGCTGTAGAAGTGTGCTTGTGGAGTGAATCTGATGCTCCTGCTGGTGGCCCACACAGTCCTGGCTGCACTGCCATCTTGCTCCTGCTCCTGCATCTCTTGGTGAGCAGTAGTGATGCTGGAGGCAGGAGGCTGTTTTGCTGGGTGTCCACTCTAGCGGGTCACCTGTTCCCAGTGGTGTGAACACCACTGAAAACCATCTCTAGCTCATATCACATCTGCTCGTATTGTTTATACATTTTTATCTGTCAATTCCAGGGAGGGTCTCCAATAACTGATCAAACCCCCTACTTTTATTTTCCCCCATCTCTAATAATGCAAGTTCTCTAACCATCCCAGCCATTTCCCACCTTTTAATTTAGCCAGGCTTTCATAGTTGGTACTTGATTACCCCGACCTTTAGTGGCTATTGGAATTTTGACTGTTGTTAAAAGATCGCATACTGTCTTCTCCATGTTATTGCAGTTCCTCGTTATTTGGTATTACAGAATCTTTAACGCCGCCTACCAAAAATGCCGCTGAGTCTAAGATAATGTTGTAACCTAAGTCAATGGCATTCTAAATCAGATTATGAAGATGTACTGGTGGAAAGGGAAATCGATGAGTACAATGAAGTTCAAAGTTGGGCGGTCCATTACTGTACCAGCGCTAGTGTCTACAGTTAGAAGTTCTATAGATGACCCTGCCAGGATATGGCAAAGACTGAACCTGGGACCTTCTGCATGCAAGGATGAGAGGTCCACAGCTGAGTGGCAGCATCTTCCCAGGGTTTCTGAAGGGCTTTCTCCCAACCCTACATGAAGATGCCATTGATCAAACTTGGAACCTTTTGCACAGCAAGCCTCCACTGACCCTTTCCAGTGAGGTTTGTAGCTCATTGGTGATTTGATCCTGGGTCTCCCTGGCCTTAGTCCAACATTCTAACCAATGTTAGAAACTCAGATGTGTAAGTTAGGTGCCAAATGGCTCCTTAAACCAAGGTTACAGTCGCCAAAACAGAATGTCTAGTTGCCATTTGGGGGCAAGACTTTCTATATTAAGTGACTTTTTTGTTTAACAGTGCAATCCTACATGTGTCTACTCCGAAACAAGCCCCACTGCATTCAGTAGGACGTTTTCCCAAGTAAGTGTTCATGGAATGTCCAAAACTGTGGACCAGGATATACGAGGGAAAGATGGGGAAATTACTTTGACTTTGCCACCTCTTGGTCTCTGTGTAGATCAGTGTGTGACCTTCCAATTGTTGCTGGACCCCAACTCCCATGAACCCCAGCTTGCATGGGCAATGGTCAGGGATGCTGGGAGTTAGAGTTCCGCAACATCTGGAGGGCAACAGGTCTCCCAATCCCTGGTACAGTTTCATAGCAGAAAAGAAGTGGAAACAGAGGTATCTGTGACCTCTCGTGTAGATCATGGGAAAAGTCTGGGGGCTAATCAACCAATTGATGCCTCAACTGCTCCCATGTGGACTCTTGAAAACATTAAAAACAAGAACCCCAAAATAATTGTTCCCAGAGTCATTCCACTGTTCTGCAGAATATCAATTTGCAAAGGGACTCCAGGCAATCTTTTGCTAGAGTGATCGTATTAACATTAAAAAACCTCATGAATCAGCTGGAGAAACGAAAGCTGCACATGGCCTTTTCTTTGATTTGGTAAAAGCTTTTTGTAATGGGCCACAAAGAGACCACCTAACAGGGCGGGAAATTAGTCTGATCTGAAAGAGAGAGAATATAAATGGACTGAATCATAAAGTTTTCATTTTAGTAACGTTTTGCTGTGCTGCAGTTATATCTATCTATCCTTGTGGTATACAGCAGGTTACAGATGCAAGTATTGGTTCTCAGTGCCTGTAATATCTAAGATCTCTCTCACGGCCTTGCCAATACATTTAGAAAGCCCACGTACTTTGAAGATCACAGTGCTTTCTGTAGAATGCTGCCATTGTTGCACTTTTTTTTTTTTTTTTTTGCAAATTCAGCGGGATGTTGTAGATGTCTTACTCGGGACGAGTCCAAGACATTTTTGGTGTGTGAAGTGGGAGAATATGGTGCCCTCACATTCCACCTACAGAAGCTGTCTGGTTTAGGGAGTATGTTTGATGAAGACACAGTGCTTTCAGAAATGTCATGTAATGCTAAATAATAATAATAATAATAATAATAATAATAATGGAGCTGCAAGTACTTGGCAATCATTTTTAATGCAATTTTACACACATTTTACTTACCAAGCAAAACTAAATCATATAAATGTAATCAAAATATCTTTTGAATTCTGAAGTCATGTTGCAACTTTATGGCACCTTTCCTTTTTAGAATTTGCAAGTTGAAAAATTCAGCACACCCTAAATTTTCTGAAGAGGGCAGCTGTTGAGAGTCCATTGGGAAGGGATGCTCTCCAGAGTGTCCTTTGGTAGCAGGTTCCTAAATGCCATAGGTATTATTGCTTGTATCACATGCCAAGCATGTTTCAGATTTCTACAACCGCCGGTCAGTTTTTGCAGCCCCAACTGCTACGAAGTTTGGCCTTTGCATTCATTAGGAGTGTTGTCAGTATGAATGTGTTGGAATGGCTCCTGAAAGTTCCTTGTAAAGGAATGGTTCAAGGCTTGCCAAAGAGGAGCGTGGTCAAGAAGCAATACGCTCTCTCTCTCTGCACCGTTTTAGGCTGTACAATGATAACAAAAGAAATGGAAACGCACCAGCCAGCTTTTGCTCTCCACAAAGCACCCTATTATTAGCACAAATTTCTAAATTGTCCCATGTCTTGCATACAATCAAATGGCGCAACCCTAAGAGGAGTGCAGGGTTTATACAATTAACTTAATTGTGTTACGCAAAAAAACAAACATTGATCCCTTGTGACCTTGAGCTATTTTTACCACAATCTCCCATCCAAAGAACCTTTGCATCTTCCCTTTTCGATCTGCTCTTCCATTAGAGTCATTGTGAGTGGTTTGCATCCTGACACCACAATCCTAAATATAAAATACCTGGTATTCAGTTCCATTGACCTCCATGTTGACAACCAGCAATTTATTCCAAACTTTGATACCCA